AGAAAGAAAGAAAGAAAGAAAGAAAGAAAGAAAGAAAGAAAGAAAGAAAACAGAAGAAAGAAAGAAAGAAAAGCTACCTCTGTTTTGTGGTTTTCAACATTTCAGTGAATTTTTAAAAAGCTCATTTTTCATCAACATTCTCCTTTTCAATAATGTAGGTGACCAATGTTATAAAAGTATACATTTTCCATTTGATGAAATAACTGCATTACCATGTTCAATGTGGCAAACCTATTTGACTCAGTTAGTCCTTATGGAATGCCTTGATCACTAAACCTGTGGGTCACCTACCAAATCGGTGTTATTACTTTGGAGCCTCCTGAGGAGATAGGGACTGAAGAAAGCTTGTCCCATGGAGCAGGAAGTCTACCTCTGCAAGCCAATTGAGCAAGCAGGAGCCTTGAAATTTGCATTCCTCCACCAATAATTGTGATTGCTTAGACATATCACATTTGTTTTACCTTTAATATTCTCACCCTCCAAACAAAATGGGAATAGGGGCAAAGAAAAAATAAACTCTCAGCTGGGAGAAAGCAAAAGAAGGGGTGAAATTGTCTAAAAACAAATGTATTCATTACATGACATAAAATGGTAACCCCTCTGTACATCATCTTTATAATAACAATAAAAAAGCAAAAACATAAAAAGTAAACTTTCAGGACCTTGTCAGCTCTTAATCTTAATAATATTATCAATCTATTCCCAAGTACTAATTCAGGAAATGGCTGATGGGTTAAAAAGCAATATCACAGTGATTTACCTTGAATGCCACTTCTCCAATTCCCAGTTGTATGACCTTGGGCAAAGAATGCGCCCAATTCTATGACTCAATTGTATAACTAATAATAGTATTAAACTCACAGATCCATTGAAAAGCTTAAATAAAGATCAGGCATGATGGCACATATCTATAATCCCAACTACTTGGAAGACTGAGGTTAGGATGATCAAAGACAGCCTCAGCAAGGAGCTAGCAAGACTATCTCAATCAAATAAGAGTAAACTGGTGACATGCTTGTAATCTCAGCTACACCAAAGGCATGAGTAAGAAGGTAAAGGTCAGTGGCTGGCTCTGAACAAAACCACAAAACACTATTTGAAAAATATTTTTTTAAATAGGGGCAGAAAAAAAATAGGGGTAGAGGGCACAGCTCAAGTGGTTGAGTACCTGCCTAGCAAGTGCAAAGCTTTGAATTAAAAAAAGAAAGGGACTAAAGAATTAAATCAATTAATACACATTAACTATTTAGCAAAGTGACTGGCACACATAAATATGTGGTTCTGTTATCATTATTTTTTTTGTCAGTCATGGGGTCTGAACTCTGGGCCTGGGCGCTGTCCCCCAGCTCTTCAGCTCAAGGCAAGTGCTCTACCACTTGAGCCACAGCACTACTTCTAGTTTTCTGGTGGTTTATTGGAGATAAGAGTCTCATGGACTTTCTGCTTTGAACTGTGATCCTCAGATCTCAGCCTCCTGAGTAGCTAGGATTACAGGCATGAGCCACCAGTGCCTGGCTGTTATTATTTTAAAAAGCTACCTAGTTGTAAGTCTTAGCCCCTGGACCTTTGTGAGGTTGAAACTGCATAAGCAAAAGCAGCCATGAGAAAAGGAGAGAGAGGCCTTCCTCTGGGCCTTGGCACTTTCCTGATCCTCCAAGAAGGAAGAATCACATCCCAGAGTTGTCCCAAATCTGAGTAAACTGGATGTCTTATAAGTTTACTGTATTTCATCATTTTTAATGTTTTGTGACAAAATTCTTGACTAGGATTTTTACTGCCTACATCCATAACAATTTGCCTTGTTGCATTGTAGAAGTTGCTGTCTGGTAAACTGAAGCATACTTCCAAACGTGGGAGGACAATGTTCTAGTACATTCCTCAAGGACTCAGAGGTTTGGGCTCTCCAGCTCCCTGGACAAGTCTCTTGACCCTTTTGTCCTTGTAAGTTTTAGAATGGCTTACTTTATCATCAAAACAAGAGGAAATGTTGGGATGGTAGTTCAATAGCACAGGCAAGGTCCTGCTGCTATCTCCAGTATCATAAATTAAACAAATAAATAATCCATAGGAGAGAAATTGTGGTCTCTTTGAGTAAAGCTGTATCGTGTTAAGGGAGAAAGAAAAACAATAAGATTTGAGACTCCTCAAAAATCTTAATTCTTCCAAAACACACTCACTAAAATCTTTTATCATGGGGTTACCTAATAGTTCACAATAATAATTTCAACATTCTCATTTAAATTAAATACATTGTATATATATGTCAGTTATATATATATGTATATATATGTATGTATATATGTATGTATGTATATGCATGTATGTATGTATGAATATACATATACATATACATATACATATATATATATGTCGGTTGTAGAGCTTGAACTCAGAACCTGGGTCTTGTCCCTGAGCTCTTTTGCTCAAGGCTACCGCTCTACCACTTTGAGCCACAGCTCCACTTCTGGGTTTTGAGTGGTTAACTGGAGATAAGAGTCTCATGGAGACTTCTCTGCCTGGGCTGGCTTTGAACCATGATCCTCAGATCTCAGCTTCCTGAGTAGGTAGGACTACAGGCATGAGCCACTGGCGCCCAGCTACATACTACATTATATAGCCTGATATAGCCTGATTTTCACTTGCAATATAACTCTTAATAATCATGAAGGTAAAACATTTTCTGAGTAAATTTTCATACATAAATCCAAAAAATATTGAACATTCATTCTTCCCTAATGAAAATGTCAGTATACAGCTGGAGAAATGTTTTTAGAATAAAGGGTAACCAGAAGGCTTTGGAAACTGGCAGATGATAATAGGTCTGTGCCCTGAGGAGAAATAAAACCTGGCCAGGCCCTTGTGGGTAATTTGCAGACCTCCTAAAGCTCAGAGATCTTCAAATCTGGTGACCATTTAGCAGCCATGATTGCCTGAGACTTCAGGTTCTGATGACTTAAATCTTTAAACCAAAGAAAACCAAAGTGATAGGGCTTCTTAGGGGGTTGGCTTTCAAATGTCTTTTGGAAAACTATGGTTCTAAGACCTAAGCAGTAGTTAGATGATGATAGTTTGGGGCATCTAAAATATTTACCTGTAGCACAAGTTCGTAAGGGCAAAGTGACCTGTGCCTGTAATCCTGGCTGCTTAGGAAGCTGAGATCTGAAGGCCATGATTTGAAGCCAGCTAGAACAAGATAGCACATAATATTCTTATCTCCAATTAACTGCCCAAAATAAAACGCCAGAAGTTGAGCTGTGGCCCAAAGTGGTAGAGTGCCTGCCTTGAGCAAAAAAGCTAAAACCACGCGAGACTTCAAACCCCAGTACCTGTAGACAAAAAAAGAGAGGGAGAACAACTTAGAAGGCCATAACTAGTCCTTCTCTACATGTTGAGTGAAGAGAGTAGTTTCTCTCTGACCCATACCTTTTCTGATATCACATATAAATGTACCTAAATCTGGGGAAAGAAAAATGACCTTTCCAGGCCAGGCACCAGTGGTTCACACCTGTAATCCTAGCTACTCAGAAAGCTGAGATCTGAGGATCGTGGCTTAAAGCCAGCCTTAGGTAGAAAAGTTCTCAAGACTCTACCTCCTATTAATCACTAAAATAGCTAGAAATGGAGTTGTGGCTTCTAGCCTTGAGCAAAAAAAGCTCAGGGCCAATGCCCAGACCCTGAGTTCAAGTCCCAGGACCAGCAAAAAAGAAAAATGGCCTTCCCATTAAAATGTTTCAAACACTTCAGTCTGAAAAAAAAAGTAGATCAGACAGGCTGCTGTCCCATCTCTCAGCTCAGCTGACCTGCAGCTCACAAATCAATTATAAAAAGGCTATTCCTCCAACAGGTTTGACAACTCGCTGGCTTCTGACCTTGAACTGGCCTCTGACTACCTGCCTTCTTACTCTGCAAATTACTCAGATGATTCCAAAACCTGGCGGCCTGTGGAGATCTTCAGGCTAGTGAGCAAAGAGCAAAATGAGATCTCAGACAGGAGAATCTGTGCCTTTGCATCGGCCCCAAAGACCTGCAGCATTGAGCGCATCCTGCGGAAAACAGGAAGATTCCAGAAATGGCTGCAGGCCAAACGCCTCACACCGGACCTGGTACAGGTGAGTGTTTAGGCTTTGGGCAGAGGGGGTTAGGGAGAGGAGAAAAGAGAAAGGAAGGAGGGAGGGAGGAAGGGAAAGAAGGCAGGAAGGGAGGAAGGGAAGAAGAGAAGAAGGGGAGGGAGAATGATAATGGATCCACCATCATCTCAGTCTAACAAAATGAAGTTGTAGTCCAAAATATCCAAAATATGACTGTCATAAAACAGAATGGCTATGACAAGACCTAATCAAGATTTATTTATAATGAGCTCCATCACATTTTCATCCACCATTCTTTTTGATGTGACCCTTGGTGATTATTTAAGGAATATTCAAACCTCACATCTTGTCTGAAGATCTGATAGGATGGCCCTTACAAGTCACTCCCTGACAAGGTTTAGCTCACCTGGCAGTCTTCACCAAACCCTAGGCCAGCTGAGCATCCTGCTGTAGAAGTTCCATATGCATCCTTTTTCACCATATAGAAATCAGCTTCTTTTCTGTCTCCCACTATAAAAAAGAACCTGCTGAGCACTTGCGGCTCATGCTTATAATCTTAGCTACTCAGGAGGCTGAGATTTGGGGATCATGGTTCAAAGCCAGCCTGGGCAAGGAAGTCTGTGAGGTTCTTATTTCTAAGTAACCATCAGAAAACTGGAAATGGAGCTGAGGCTCAACGTGATAGAATGCTAGCCTTGAGCACAAAAGCTCAGGGACAGTGTCAGGCCCTGAGTTCAAGCCCCACAACCAACAAAAAAAAAGAAAGAAGAAGAACTAGACCTCAATCACCAGCAGACTGTAATAATACAGCACCCGGCCCCAGTTGAGGGTGCTGCACCCACTCTCATAAAGACCCTCCCAGTTTTTATGCTCTTTGACTTGCGATGTGTCTGCTTCATTTATTTAACTCATTCTAACTGAATACCTACTTTCACCAGGTACCAAGCTGCACTTGGATTTTCTTGTTTCTCAAATGGCAGCAAAAGGTCCCTACTCTGTCTCCCTCACTTATCCTAATGAGTCTATAAATATGAAAATATTTTAGTGACAATCCATAACTATAGAAACACTTAGCAGCATTCTTATAAGTAAAGCCCCTTTATTTATTATACTAGATCTTTCTTTTGCCATGTTGCATTTGACATGCACTGAAACAAGTTTAGCTTCTTTCTGCCTGAACAATATCCATTAACAACATTCTGACAACACAGCTTAAACCATAACCATTTTCACTTTACTTTGGTCTTCCTCTAGCCTATCTTCTCACTTTCACCAGATTTTCCCCCTTCCTTGTAAAAACCAGAAAAATATCTTTTTTTTTTTTTTAGGTCCAGTCGTGGGCCTGAACTCTGGGCCTGGGCGCTGTCCCTCAGCTCTTCAGCTCAAGGCTAGCGCTCTACCACTTGAGCCACAGTGCCACTTCCGGCTTTTTTCTTTTTGCTTATGTGGTGCTGAGAAATCGAACCCATGGCCTCAAGCATGCAAGGCAAGCGCTCTACCACTGAGCCATCTTCCCAGCCCCAACCCAGAAAAAAATCAACAATCATTTATAAATTCTGGGAAAACCCCATCCATTTTTCTTTTCTTTCCTTTCCTTTTCTTTTCTTTCTTTTCTTTTTTGTGCCAGTCCTAGGGCTTGAACTCAGGGCCTAAGCACTGTCCCTGAACTTTTTCTCTCAAATCTAGTGTTCGACTAATTGAGCCACAGCTCTACTTCCAGCATTTTGGTGGTTAATTGGAGATAAGAGACTCATGGACTTTTTTTCCCAGGCTAGCTTTCACCTGTGATCTCAGATCTCAGTAGAGAAAAGTACTAAAATTAGAGGCATCTGGCTTCCATTTCTCTTTCATCTACCAAGATGAAGGTTGTTACTAGTCCTTTCTGGCACCATCTCCTCCTTTTCCTGCCCTCTTCTCCTCCCAGAGATTTTTAGTCCTTGGGACTTCACAGCCTGAGCAGGGTGATCTTAGGCCTCATCTGGGTAGCACTTTGAATGCTTGTTATTTTCTTCTTAGTGAAACTCACACACTGAACAGCTTCAAAAAACTCACCCCTCCATGTTAGAGAATTAAAAACAAGAGTTTAAAGAAAAACTTGTATTACTCATAGTATATCTATAACAGACAGAAGGTAGAAACAGCCTGAATGTCCATCAACTGATGAATGGATAAACAAAATGTGCTTTATCTATACCAGTAAATATTATTCAACCACAAAAAGGAAAGAGGTACTAACGCATGCTATAACATGAACATTGGAAACATTCTCAGCAAAATAAGCCCGATCCAAAAGGCTGCACATAATTCTATTGATAGGAAATAGCCAAAATCCATGCAGACAAATGACAGACTAGTTGTTGCCAGGAGCATGGGGCAGGAAGAATTGGGAGCAACTGCTTAACAGGTACAGAGATTCCTTTGGGGAGAATGTAAAGGGTAGTTGTACTAATTGCACAATGAATGAAAATGGAGAGTTGAACTAGTTGCACAACCTTGTGAATGACTAAAACCCACTGAAATATACATTTTAAATGGTTAAAGAGGTGACTTTTGTTATATGATCAATTTTTAAAAGGAAGAATAGCATTAAAAAACAAATTTGCCTGGCCAGTCATGGGAGTGCACAACTGTAATATCTGATACTCAAGAGGTTGAATTAGGAAGATGGAGGTTCAAGGTCAGCCTGAGCAAATAGTTAGTGAGATTTTTTTCTCAAAAACAAGTCAGTCTAGAAATCCAATGTGATACCTATCAGTATTCCAACCTCATTCTTCAAGGAAATAGAAGCACCAATCCAAAAATTAATATGGAACAATAAAAGACCCCGAGTAGCAAAAGCAAGCCTTAGCAGAAAGAACAGTGCTGGAAAAATATCAACACCAAATTTCAAACTCTACCACAAAGCCATAGTAATCAAAACAGCTTGGTACCGGCACAAGAACAGACCTGAGGACCAATGGACTAGAACCTAAGATGCAGAAATGAACCCACAGACCTATAGCCACCTAATCTTCAATAAGGGAGCCTAAAAAAGTAGAATGGAAGAAAAACAGCCTCTTCAGTAAACGGTGCTGGCAAAATTGGTTTAACACTGTAGAAAACTAAAGCTAGATCCTTATATATCATCCTGCACCAGAATCAACTCCAAATGGACCAAAGACCTCAGAGTCAAAGCAGACACCCTGAAAACACTATAAGGCGGAATAGGAGAAACTCTAGGGCTCCTTGGCACAGGCTGAAATTTTCTTAATAGAGACCCAGAAACACAACAAATCAAAGAAAGGTTGGACAAATGGGATTGCATGAAACTGCAGAGCTTCTGCATGGCCAAGGACATATCAAGCAAGATCAATAGAAAGCCGATGGATTGGGAGATCTTCACTAGCCATACAACAACAAGGGTCTCATACCTAAAATATACTGGAACTCAGAAAATTAAATCCCCCAACAACAAATCCTCAGAGAAACAACTGCCCAATTAATAAGTGGGCTAAAGACTTAAAGAGAAACTTCTCTGAAGAGGAAATAAGAATGGCCAATAGACACATGAGAAGTTGAGCATTTCAACTTCTCTGGCCATAAAGGAAACGCAAATCAAAACAACACTGAGATACCCTCTCACCCCAGTTAGAATGGCTATAATCAAGAACTCTAATAACAACAGATGCTGGAGGGGATATGGACAGAAGGGAACCCTAGTGCATTGTTGGTGGGAGTGTAAACTTGTTCAACCACTTTGGAGAGCAGTATGGAGGTTCCTCAAAAGAGAGCTCCCCTATGACCCAGCAATCCCACTTTTGGGCATTTACCCAAACAATCATAAACAGGGGTTTACTAAAGCTACCAGCACAACTATGTTTATTGCAGCATTATTCACCATAGCTAAGATATGGAACCAATCCAGATGCCCCTCAGTAGATGAATGGATCAAGAAAATGTGATATATATATATATATATATATACACATACATATATATATATGTATATGTATATATATAATTGAATTCTATGCCTCCATCAGAAAGAATGACATTGCCCCTTGTTAGGACATGGAAAGACTTGGAACAAATTATATTAAGTAAGTAAGCCAGGCCCAAAGAAACATAGGTCCCATGGTTTCCATTATCTGCAATAACTAGTATAAGTCTAGGACAAGCAGAAAAGGTCAAAAGCTATATACATATGACCATATAAGATGATGTTAAGAAATAGGAAAGAGGGAACAGCTTATGCTATGCAAAACAAAAGAAATGTACATACCACCCAATGTGGAAGAAATAAGTGTATCGCAAAGCTCATAGAACTCATAAATGTTATAGACTGTAATAGACAATTTGCTCCAGGAAAGTTAGAATGTGTTTGTGACTTTAACTGAGCATCACTATCCCACAATACTGTGAAATTTGGGAAATTATGTAATCACTTAATCACAATAAAGAAATAAAAAAATAAAAACTCAAGATGAAAAAAAAAGATGATGTTAAGCAAAATGAACCCCAAGATAGGGACACAAGTGGTTTTTTTTTCTTGCTTGCTATTGTTTTTAATGTATGTATAATGTACTATGTGATTTTTTTTTCTTTTGTGTGTTCTTCCCCCACACTATAACCCTTGTTTTCACTGTATTTGATTCTGGTGCCCTGCATCTTGTATATACATTTTTCTAATTTGGGGAGGGGAAGGGAAATAACAAAATGCTGAAATAAGGATACAGGTTGACTCATTGTAGCAATGAGATGTACAAGACACTTGTTGAAAACGAACTTTACCTTTGGGGGGGGGATGGAGGAGTTGAGGAGGTGGGGAAGGAGGGATGGATGGTAGGGGAAAAACAAAGGAGGAGGTAACAATATTCAATAGGAAACATACTCATTACCTTACTCATGTAACTGTAACCACTCTGTACAGTATTTTTACAATTAAAAAAAACAGAAAAAAAAACAAGCCAGACAGCTGGGTGTTGGTTGCTCATACTTGTAATCCTAGCAACTCAGGAGGCTTAGATCTGAGAATCATGGTT